TAATGCTTACATGGAAAATAAAACAAATAAATAATTGAGATAACAAGCTGTCTAAGATAACTACCAACTAACACTGACAAACTAATCAAAGGTTACATGTGCTGTCATACGAACACAGTGGGGACCACAGCTGTGGGGCCCACATCAGTGTTCTCTACACTTTTTTCTTAGGGGGAAGTCTTGAAAACGTTCCCACAGACGGCGCCACTATGTATTGGGCAAATTTAGTGGCCTTAAATTTGCTGATTTTTGTGGTCATTGGGAGGAGATTGTATGGAACAATAGTTTTGCTTTGTAATGCACTGATTTTTAGACCTATCAACAACACATGAAAACCCGTGGCCCAATCCGATAATCTTGGATTCGGATGGGGTAGGATGTCATATCGGATCGGATTCGGATGGTGGAAGTAGAATAGAATCTGATTAAAAATTGGATTGAACTCAGACGCACCCCCATTCGATCCAATAAAAATCCGAATATGATATGATATATATATATATATGAATATATTTTATATATACTTTTATACATTAGTGTAATAAATAAAACCTCTTAGGGGTAAATGAGGAAATCTGTTCCTCAAATTCCCAGTCAGCCAGCCCTAAGCTCTAAACACAATACTTGAATTAATCGATATTTTCTTCTTGCCTAGGTTTTCTTCTTTCTCGTCACCACTTTTCTCTCCTCTCTCGACTCTCACTCTCTGCAACAACCAAGTCTACAACTCTGCATTCCCCTCTCAACTCTCGTTGTCATTCTTTATTCCGCCCTTTTCTTCATTCTTGCCATTCCCCTCTCTTCAGCTGTAGCCTGCAAGTATTTTTATTCTCCCATTCCCCTCTCTACAACTGAAGTCCGAACACAATACTTGAGCTAAACGGTGGACTGATTCGACTGAAGAGTGAATCTTGTCAGATTGAAGCAAACGAAAACGACAAGAGTGAATCTAGTTCTCCCAAACAAACGGCAGACCAGCATATTGAAGCAAGCTACCACCGTCGAATCTTCTCATTCTCTCAACTAAACAAAAGCGGCAAGTTCCTTAATCCTTTATTTAGCTAAACATTTATATTGGTGTTGGAGAAATCAGTCGAAGTCGGATTAAAATATGAAATCCAAAAAATCCAATCGGATTTGAACTCAAATGCTTTGCACACAATCCAATCAGATTTCGGATTGGAGTCACATGCAGCTAACATCTTGTCAAATTGAACTTGGATTTAGATGAATCTGATCTGATTACAGGCCTACTGATTTTATATTCAGGGATGTAGTTTCCCCTTTTTATCATTGTGTCCTGCATTGGAAGCTCTCCCCCAACATTGGGGGAGACGTTAATGAGATTTTATACCAAATGTGGTTCATCATTACCATCCAAGCCTTATCCCAACGATATAGGGTCAGCTACATGAGTCCTATTTCGCCATTTCGTTCTGTTTAATGCCATGTCCATTGTTAAATTATTAGCATTCAAAACATTTTTTACTACAACCAACAGTCTTCCCCCACCACTCCTAGCCCCTTCAACTTGCGACAGATCACTTGCCAAAGGTCTTCTATGTGTGTGACCAAACCATCTTAGTGTGTGTGTATATATATATATATATATATATTCAATGTCAGGGAGTTGATTGAATTCTGTAGGTGTATAACTTGCTCAATTTTCTAGCTTGAATGAAGTGTCTTTCGTTGTTGTCCTTATTCTCAATCTCACCTTAATCTTCATCATCATTTGAGCCTTAATTCAGCTATTGAAGTGGCTATTGATTTCCAATATCTATGCATTTTACCAAATTGTCACCCAAGCAATAGGTTTATGGTTTCTGCTACTGTTAATGTGATTGGGATTAATGAGACACTGGTAACAATGTTGCGAAGATTTGTTAAGAATGCTTGTAACTGATTTGGTACTTGTTCTTTTTTTTTGGGTAAAGATTTGGTACTTGCTCTGTGTGTTAGACAGTGTATGCCCTTAGCTCCAATCAGAATGTACATTATGACATTTAATGTAAATGAATAAAGTACATATTTGATTCATGTTATTGTGGTGTGTTTCTGTGTAATACCCTTAAACTGGACACATATGAGACTCGTGTTAGTTTAGAATCTTCACAGTCATTGGATAGATCTGGGGACATTTATC